ATCCATCAAAACAGTCGCAAACCCCGTTCCATAATATGTCCTTTGCATGCCACAGGTGAATCAACATACCTTAATGTAAACGCATTATATAAAAGGTAGAACATGACAGAACATGTAAGTTCCGTAATTAACAACACCATTAACAACAACAACAACATCCATAACAATAACAACCACGGCCATAGCTTCGTCTTCAATTTGATAGCAAAAATGTACAGCATTTCTACGTTTCTGAGTCACTGAAATGGTTACTTAATTTCTTTGAGATATTTATTTGGAATTTCATTTCGAAACTTCATATGAGGTGAAAAAGTATTTCTCTTGAAAATCTAGGTCGAAATTAAATGATTTTGATGACTCGCTTGGACGTGAAAATATTGTAATTCGTTGTAATTGAAAGACCTTTAAATTTTTAGAAAAATGAAGTGAAAATTTGTGCAAGAGACATGTACGCAGGCATCGCATTTAATTCAACTACACCATATTAACTATGGCAGTAATTTTCAGTGCGATACCACAAACACTTGGTACAAAAATGTGAATAAACTGTACAGAGATGTAAACCAGATCAGCGAAGTAGGAATAATGCATAAGTATTGAATGTATCGCTATTTCACGTTCCCAAGACGCTGGGGGGTGGGGGTACCTCCCTACGCGGGTGGGTAGTACTCTCTGCAAATATGTCTCTCCGGCCTGTGAAGACGTTTTGTTTAGAAATCCTTGTTTCCCTATTCCATCTGAGTAGAGGCCTTATGTTACGAGAGGATTAACAGTTATTTAGTTTATCTTGCTATCGCTGATGAAAATATAAAATGTACGTACTACCTGACTTTATTGGGCCAGCTCGGCGTGAACAGTTGTTGTTTTATCATAACTGTGATAAGCGTCAAACTGTAACCTTCACCTGTCCTCTTCCTTTGTTTGATCATTATCTACCTGCAATGTTTTGAAACTGATTACTGGTGTAAAAGCGAAATTTCTTCGTAGCCAATCGTTCTTAATGAAAAATGTATTATATTATTCATAACATTACCTAATCTTTAGCGTTGTAGTCCAGGCCTGAATAGAACTGCTTTGAAAAGCTTTCTATGGACACACTAAGGTCTCGCCTGCACGTACCAGGACGTACATTAAACTCTACGTTGAGGCTAAGTTTTAGTGGAAATTAATGTCTTAAAGATATTCAGCAGCCTTGATAGTCTGACTGTCGCGTAACCCGTGAGTGTTCTCTCAGGAAGAACCCTTCCGAGAGAAGTAATTTTATAGTTTTTCCCCTGTCCGTTCATTTGTATTTGAAGGTAAAACCTGTTTTCAAAGTTATTCCCCTTCCACCGACATAAATACTGAATGCTTATGGTGACTTAAGAAATTTTACCAGTTTTATCTTAAGTTTAAAGATTTGGGAGAAACGAAAGTTCCATAATCATAACAAAAAGGGTTTAGTGGTTTTTCTTAGTCCGTATCATTGTAATAGTTATTTGATTTCCTTAAGAATTATATTTGCAATTTACTGTCACACCCACACTCATGGTTAGAAAAAAAAACAAACAAACAAACATGATCATATAAAAGGACCTCTTGTTGCAGCGTTTAGATCACCCCTGATGAAGGC